TGAGATTAACTCAATGTTTTTCGCAAAGTTCACGATAATGCTGACAGACTTATGGTGGGGGATGTGGTTTAGCCCAGGGAATCTCCTCTAGAGTGGTCCTATTCCCACTCCATCGCTACACCGTATTCTGAGCCCAGTGTTACCGAGAACGAAATGGCGGTATTATGAATACACATGACGCTCTTTTAGGCGAACGAAAGTCCTGTTTTGCAATAAAAGAAATAGCGAATGAGGGATCCTACATGTCTGCCCGTTTATATCTGTTGTAGTCCTTCGATTGGAAGAAATTTGAATCTCAAGTGTATCTCATGACTAGATATATGACTTAACCGTTCACAGTTGTCACTTCCATTGCAACTCTATATTCACTTTTCAGTGTTGAATTTGAAGCGGGAATCAGCATATCATTATATGACATCACACTGTGCGGGATGAATATTAATTACCAGGTCACCCGACTTATTGCTGCAACAAAAGCAAACAAATTTATAGTCAGTAGAATATATAAACAAGTGCAACAGACACGCCACTTACAGAACTCCCAGATCCCGTATGGAACCATTTCGCCGTAGGTCATGCCACACTTTTAATGGGTGGCATCTACCGATCACCTACCTGTGAGGCGGAGCACAGACAACTACTGCTCAGCACCATCACATGGATACAGGACTGGGGCTACGAACATATCACCATAGCTGAAGATTTCAATGCCCCATCACTGAACCTTGGCTCGGGGTATGCTCAGGAAAAATTCGGTAGAAATCTGTTGAAAACCATTAGAAATACAGGACTAACTGAGAATGTTGGAGACGATACTAGGTGGGGTCCTAGTGGAAAGTCATCGAAACTAGACTACATTTTAGCTAGTGACCAACCACTTGTCGAAAAGGTCCAGATCGTGGCCCCACTAGGGTGTAGTGACCACGCAGTCATAGGGTTCGATCTCGTTCTTCATGAGCACTTGCAGTGGGACGCTACGCGACCATGTATGTGATATAACAAGGCGGACTATGCTGAAATGCGGAGGATTTTGTTTGACGCAGAATGGCACTTACCATGGGATGAGTTACCTGTGGATGAACACTAGGAAGTGGCAAAAGGGATTATTCACGCAACGATCTCAGATACCATTCCTTCAGTCACAAAACAATCGAAGAAAAGGATCTCATGGCTGAGGAGAGGTACGCAATGTATTCTGCAAGGAAAACGGAAGGCTTGGTTTACGTTGCGAGTATCCAAGAGTCAGACCGACAACGATGCGTGTCCGGAAACAAGCGTGAATTACACGGGAGATGTGGTGATGGCATGTGTGGTCATACACTTTACGCACAGACAGTTGAGTGCACTCATTCCTGAGTTCTTTCTAAGGCTGTACAAGACACAAGCTGGACCACACCTCGAATCGCATAATATCATTACGCCCCTACCGCTGAGAAGAGACTCAAACTCCTTGAAAAGAGTCAAAAGACGGGTGACAAAAGGAGTGGTTGGTCTCCGAAGTAAACCGTATGATGAACGGTTAAAGAAATAAGGCCTCTTCACAATTAGCTGCCGTCGGCTAAGGGGGATTTGACTGCTACCTATGAGATAACAAATAACCAGAACAACCCACACGAAAGTGTTCTGCGGTTAAGTAGGCATAGGCTTCCTCGTGGGAATCCCAGAAGAACAGCCCACCAAACGGCAAAGACTCGAGCGAGCTCCCACTTCTTTTCACTGTGGGCTTGCCATCCCTGGAACTCCTTACCGGAAGATGTGGCTATGGCACCGTCTGCGGACAGCTTTAAACGATCACGCAGCGACACAAGGACTGCGTTCAAGTGGCCCGTCCCCTTAAAAGCCTATATGTTATTCGTAGGTATCCAATATCCTGATTACGAGCTAGTATAAACCAGTGATTTCTTTGAGCTCGCTTCTTGATTGTGAGGTGGAGTTTGCATATCTTTGGCGAGCTTCTGCGTGTTAAGCTCCTCCACTCGACTGGTTTATCTCCGGTAGTCTCCCAGACGAGTGGTGCGGGGATTCCTCAAGATGTGGTTTGTAGTATGCAGTATTTTAGGACTGTGTTGCTGCCGTGAATGGAGTTTGACCTAACTCCCGTTGGTCATTCGGTATAGTCATAAAAGCAGTATGGTAATAATAATAATAGGTTGTAGTGCAGATAATATGGGTTGAAATAAATGAAATAATACAGGTGACCTAATTAAAAGATAGAGTAGTTGGTACAGTGAGAGAAGGCAGAACAGGTCGTGGGGATTTAGTTTGTATGCTTATCCATTGACAGTGTGGTTTTAAGTTTTATGAGGATAAGCCATTGAGACACAAACCTTGCATTTCTGCATGATTGTCTAGCTTCCGCTTAAAAATCTCCACAGATGGCGCTGTAGTCACGGCCGCCGGTAAAGCGTTCCAGAGGCGGCAAACTCGAAGCGAAAAGAAGTGTGATCGCACTCGAGTCTTTGGTCTCTGGTGTGCTATCCTTAGCGGGTTACCTCGTGGAAGCCTATAATCACTTAATGGCAGGATGCTTTTATTTGGGTGGGCCTGGTCATTTAAGATCTGGTAGACGGTGATGAGGTCTCCCCTGTGCCTACGGTAACTAAGTGTGAAAAGACCTAATTTCTTTAGTCGTTCCTCATATGATTTGTTGCGGAGGCCGATCACCCATTTTGTCGCTCGTCTCTGGACACTTTCTAGAATGTTAGCATCCCTTTTGAGTAGCGGATGTGCAATGATATTATGCACCTCAAGGTGTGGCCTCACATATGTCTTATATAACCTTAAGAACAGTTCGGGAGTGAGAGCTCCCAGCTGCCTATGCATAAAGTGTAAAGTTGCGTAGGCTTTGGCGACGTCCCTCGCGTAATTTCCACTGGTGTCTAGCTTTTCTGTTAGAATAAGACCTAGATCGCGCTCTGATGGAACACAACTCAAGTTCTGGCCACCAAGGGTGTAATTTACACTCTGTGACCTGCCGGAATGAAGTTGCACTACTTTGCACTTCTTTAGGTTGAAAGGCATTCCGTTAGCCAGAGCCCAGTCTCCCAGAGTTTGCAGGTCAGCCTGCAATCTATCTGAGTCTTCCGATGAGTTTATTGCTCTCCAAATCTTTACGTCGTCAGCGTAAAGAAGCGCAGAGCAGTTTAGTTGGGAGGGCAGGTCGTTGATAAAAATCAAAAACATCAACGGCCCTAGGATAGAACCCTGAGGAACCCCTGATGCCGAGGTGTGCCAGGATGATCGGATGCGGTTGACTTTGGTGCAGAATTCTCTCTCGCCTAAGTAATCTTTCAGCCATGCGAGAAGTGCTCCAGAAACACCCGCCTTGCTTATTTTGTGAAGGAGCAGACCATGGTGAACTGTGTCGAATGCTTTCGCAAAGTCGAGAAAGATCACGTGGGCTGGTACCTTTTCGTCCCAGGATAGTGTCCAATCGTTCCAAGCTAGTAGAAGATTCGTCACGCAGGATCTTCCCCTCCTGAAACCGTGCTGTGCTTCGTGGAGAAGGTTAGTCCCATCGAAGTATTTTCTCATGTGGTCGTCAATGAGACTTTCCAATATTTTCGATATCACTGGAAGTAGAGCAACTGGTCTGTAACTGGTTGCATTCTGCCGGTCACCACCCTTGAAGATAGGGGATAGGATTGTTCGTTTCCATTCACATGGAAGTTTCCCTACATCAAGGGAGTGTTGGAACAGATCACTTAGGGGTTGGCAGAGACTTTCTGAACACTGCTTCAGGACAGATGGTCTGATGTCATCACAACCTGAAGACTTTCCCGAAGCCAACTTTCCCAATTTTACAAGTACCATAGCCGGGGTAATTTGAAATGTACCCAGCAGGTTTTCGCGCGTTGGTTTTGCGATGTAATCTGGATGTTCTGTGGGGGTAATATCCTCGTTACTGTTAAAGGCTAGGCTGAATGTCTCTGCCATTTCAAGGCCAGTAAGAGATTTCCCATCAGAACCCACTAGATTGCATGCTCCCTGGTTGGTCGGTTTTCTTTCAGACATAAACCTGAATAATATACCGAGGAGTGTTGGCAATCCTGTCTAGAATAAGTTCAATGAATCCTTTACTAATTTGTGTGTCAGAAATTCCCAATACCCAAGCGTTATTAGCTCTAGCGCGTCCGCGATTGTATTTCTTCTTTATAAGCACTATATTGTCCATGTGAACGATAACACCGACTCCTCCAAACACTTGTGTAGTATTGTTCATTCTCCATGATGCCAAATTTCGACAAAATTGAAACCGCTGCACAGTAGACGCCAACGTATTTTCTATCTGAGCCGCAGTTGACCTCACACTGGACTTCAAAACCCAGTATTGGCAAAGGAACAGTATATTCATCAAAGAAAGTTTCGATTTAGTAAAGGAAGCCACTATAAGTCAGTTAACTTAGAGTGTCACTTACCAGTACGAACAGTTGTTCGTTTCCTACACTCCGTACATCTAAACGTATATCCATCAATGACCTGTGAATACGGTTGTAGGTTCATTGAAGCACCACAGACACATATACGAGAACGTCCTATCAATCCATTATCCAGAGAGCATTGAAAAACGTGTTCTGGGTGGAATTTGCACCTGAGCATATGAACAGCGTCCATTTTCGCGCTAAGATAATTGTAAGTTTCTTAAACCAACGATTAGCATGCGTTAAAGGTCATCTGAGCGTTCACACTCCTGGGACGCTAGTGTTGAACTTCGCCATTCACCACTCCTTTCGTAGTCAACCAAAGCTATGATAGTCGAGTGGCGGGATGAAGACCAGAAACCTTTACTTGACAATCAAGAAGCTAGCAAAAAGAAATCAAATTGGCTTGTACTAGCTCGTGAAAATGATATTGAATATTGGATTGATTCTCTTGTCGACGATACCGAAGGACTAACTGGCGAAAGGATCAACTCCATTCACAGTAGTAACAGTCTTAACACACCTCATACTACAAACCACATAAAATTAATTCCAGCACTACTCCCTTTGGAGTCAACCAAAGCTACGACAGTCGAGTGGCGGGACGAGCTACGCAGAAGTTTACCGAAGATCAGGAACCTATACCTTACAATCAAGAAGCGAGCACAAAGAAATGAAATTGGTCTATACTAGCTCGTAAAAACGATATTGGATATGCATTGAATATTAAAACGTTTCTTTGGCGGTAAAAATATAGATTGTGTTACACTGGTCACTCGATTGGTAATGTTTATTTATTTGTTCTTGATCGACAGACGTTCCCAAAGCATATTTCCGAAATATTTCTCACCTTTGTCACTACCTATTGTTTTTCCACTCACCTCTTTATTGTAAACTTCAGAAACGTTAAATATCAGGTACATCCTCTAATTCTTTTGGATACATAGCATTCCAAATTAATCTTCATGAAGTATACGTCTTAGAAAACAGTCGGCTTATTTTGTTGAACAAAATGCTTGTCATAAGAGTGGAAGTAATTTCGACTTGTGGAACAGCTAGTCACACTGAAAGATAATAGTAAAATAAGGACTATATTAATTGTGGGGACAGAATGGGGAAAATGGGGTAATTGTGGGGACAACGGGATTTAACAAAATGGGGAAAATGGGGTAATAATTGGGAGAAAAAGGGGAGAATGGGGAAAATCTTACTATTTCCCCATGTTGTCCCCATTTTTACTCAATGCGATGTCCCCATTTTAGACAAGATTTTCCCCATTTTTGTCGATTTGGGTAATTTAAAGTATGATAGCCAAAGTCCATCTCTTCCAGTTGACCTTGAAAGGGTGATTTAATGGGGGTTGGCATGAAATATGATTCCTTATGGACCGGTTTCTGTCTCACGGATGAGGCTTTTCACTAGGTCGTTTTGCTGGTCTTTGGTCCAAGGTTTCTTCTATTGAATTGAATTTTTTAGATTTTCCCGTCGATTGATGGGACCGAAGTGCTTGGTCTTGGGTTGACATGTCGGCTTCTTGTGCAGATGGTTTGACGATGTCTGAGCACAAGTAGCCGACATGTCAACCTGAGACCGAGCACTTCGGTTCAATCAATCGACGGGAAAATCTAAAAATTCAATTCAATAACTAATATGACCCGTTGCACAAGAGGTGGTTGTCGTAGCCCAAGTCGTCAAGTGGATAACGCTTTGGCGTTTGAAACTCTGGACACTGGTTTCGAGCTTCGGTGAGTACATCTCTCACTGAGAAATACAGGTACAACCAGATGACGAGTCCCAAATGGGACGAAATGTGCATCCTGGATCCCACTGCTAGCCACCGTCCACCAACTTTATACAAGGTTTTCTTCTCCTGAATCATTATTTCACAGAGTTATTTCAACAGATAATTTGCTTGATGTGACCAAAAGTTTTTTAGACATTCATGCCTGACGGAAAGATAGGAATGATACGTAGGGTGTTACAGGGTCTGTCATAAGTAAAAGACACCTGTCAAACTTGTTTTATACCAGTTATAGCGTGAATGAACTTATAGTTGTAAGTGTTATATTGTTTCAAACGACCTGTTGAGCAGCACGGACTACATGTAAAATGTGTGGTTGGTAGTGGACCTATAGGTCCAAGATTGGACAATCAATTGAGCTTAAGTTTCAACTTCGCTGTGAGTGGAACTAGAATGTCATAACTTACTGCCCAGATGCAGAGGTTTGTTGATTATTCAAGTGATAGCATACTGCACCATCGCACTTGCACCCGGTGCAAGGTTATTTTGCCGAACACTGAGTGAAGTTTCTGTCCCTCTTAGTCGCTTGTTGTACTCCCAACATAAGCACTTTTCCTTTAGAATGTGGGTAAGCGCGCGTAGCTTTTCTTGCAAGTTATATACACAATCTTTCATTTTTCAGTGCATTTTGGTGGGGGAGATACTAAGGAAGTGTCCTAGCGACTTGCAGTAGTTTCACACAAGTTAAAATCAGTGACCGCATAAATTATTTGGATTTATGGCCCGTTAATTAGAATTCATTGATATATGTTTAGTTATCGCAAAGTCACACACTTTCATCTTGTTTGTGTTTTATTTACCCATAAATTTTGCTATGGAAGAGTTCATTTACGAATATTGTGTTGTATTTGTTTTTTTATAATACCTAGCAAGCAAGTCATTACGTATGTATCAAACTCATTTGGTTTAAACTCACAATCAAAAGTATTTTTGTGCAATTACCAGTCATGTGTAGTTCCACGGTTCTGAATTGCACGAGGAGATGGTATTTATTCATACTCATCTGAGCATCTTCAGGTTCTCCTGCAGATCACGGCTTAATTCTTTGAAGGATGTATGGAAGGCTAATATACTTGATCAAGCCACAGAAGCTCAGTCTGGAGTTCTGTCAAATTCAGCTTCTGTATTCGAACTACAGATACACGATGTCAAGACGAATCAATTCACTGAATATCTAAAAGATTTGTTCGTCCACTTATGTTTTATTTCTCCCTAGTGGAACATTTCTGGATAAAATCAAAACAAATGAAACTGAAGCCTGCTTGATTGGTAGCTGGACTTGTGATATTGGCGATCAGAATGAAATATGTAAGTAGTAATTCAACATTTTACATTTTTAGATCATTTATGGAGATTTGCGGGAGGTTATAGCGGTCTTAGTACACATTATAACCTCATGAATAATAACAAGGTTTATGAACATAATGTATTGTAATTTTGTCATAGGAATTCGTTGAATGCCAACAGAAATTAAATTCTTTCCTGCATTCTCGCAGAAACCAAATCTGCCTACCTTTTAGTTTCTGGCCTAGTCCTAAACCAACGAAAGAAGGTGCTGACAACATTTATGAACTTAGATCATATCATTTGAAGGTTTGTATCGTGTTTTCTTGAATAATAAATCGGATTATATCAAATCTCTTTTTATCTTTTCCAATTTTCGACTCTAGATTTTAGTTGTTATATGTTGGTTTGCAGACTTACAAAGTTTTATGAAAGTCGTTTAAATGACCTAAGTATCCGAATATTTCTTCTCCAGGTAGTCGCCAAATCCCCAGGATGTATTTATGACAAACGCAACTGCTATTATTTCCTAATACCTTGGCATTAGAGCTGTGATATGTTAATCTACGGGACAGAAAAGCCTCAAAAAATTAGCTGGGTTCACACCTGATCACATCTGTCGCAATCAATTAAATATCCCGACTCGGATGCGCCTACTGCGGGTCAGCATCAGTTGTTTTCCTGTACCTTAGGGTGGTAGCTGTTTTTTGAGTCACACTTTTAGGTATTTTTCATTTTTTTACGTTCCTCTTTTTCTGTCGCATGGCATTGGATGACTTTTTGTATTATCTTCACTGGTTTTCCGCCTTTTGTCTTTCACCTGATTTGGAGATATGGTTTGTTGCTTGTAACAGGGCTTAAGATATCGGGTTTTGTGTTTTGTGATGATATTTTTAAAAGTTTGTTTTCAGTTTGAAAATTGCTTGTGGGCGTTTTATTCACAATTTCCACATATTCATTTTGAGAACAGTGGTTACACCACAAATGGTAAAAATTACATTTGAAACCGAGTAATGTGAAATCATATGACAATTCTATTAAAGTCTGATAATGGAAAAAGATGACCTCTTGTCATTGATTCTCATTTATATAGTGGCTAGTGATAAAATTCACAACGCATATTTTATTTTATGCGGGATTCACTATCTAAACATACCAAAGTGTTTTAGTGTTTTCATTCTTACTGAGACTGGTTACACGCTTTTCTAAACCTCCCATTTTTATTCGTTTGGATAGTAATGTATACAGCGCATGCATCTGATTGTTTCTGTTTTGAAATTTTGCTGTTGATGGATTATTCAATTTATTCCATCTGTCTGATTGTACGAATGTCTCATTATTGTATTTAACTGATTTACATTTACTTCCGGTGAAATTATATAGGAGAAAATCTATACGACTGTGTAAATTCTCATTGATTATATTGATGGGTTGTGTATTACAGATGCTTCCGCTTATCCGGGTAGTGTATTATTGACTGGAGTGAGCTTATAATGGAAGAGCCAAAGTTCAGTGAGTCAAACACTAATAACTACGAACTCATGTCATGTAGGTGGTGTCTAGTTAAGAAGTTTGTTTTGTTTTATTACTGTAAATACTGTTATATTTGTAATTTTCCACATAAATATGTACTTATAATGACTTTTTTTCGTTTCAGCCAGGCACAATGATTGAATGGGGTAATCATTGGTGAGTTCAATTAGCATTTTGGTAACATTCGAACATCTCTTCTGCTTCAGTTTTTTTCTAGATATGATATCTTACTCATAATTAGTTAGCCCTAAGTATTCAGTTGTGCAAGTAAAAAACTTGTTAAATTGTATTACTCACTACCTGAAATGTTGATACAACTCAAAGTTTATTAGATTTTTCTCAACTTTTTTTATAACAATAATTACTTATTCCTAAGCCATTTCAACAACGGTTATTTAGGGACTGTCGATTCCTAGCCGTCCAGAAAACTACTTCCATAACGCCATGAATCGTAGCCATTGTCCATCAAATCTCACAGGTCAACCAGGATGGCTTCTGTAAATGGTCCATCGAAATGGTTTAAGGATTTGTATTTAGATCTCAGATGCATATCCCTATATTTTTCCTTTACGTTCCCAGTGAAACATAGGGTTTCAAGCTAGAGTCTAGAAGTTTCTGTGATAGTGGTGTTTTATTTTTACGGGATAGGGTTGCTAGCCTCATGCCCAACCTTCCCTCTTTACCAGTCTTATTACTGGCTTACCGAGGTAAAGGAGTGCGTCGGCGGCTGGGGATCGAACCCGCGGACCACCGGGGTGGTCGGTTAGCACTCTACCGCTGTGCCACCGACGCACCGCATGTCTCTTTAGGGAGCATTAATCACAAATAAATTAACTAATGTTAGCCAACAAAGTATTGTTAAGTGTAATCATGACATTCTATTCCCATCAGCTGAATGCATGTGATTTCGTGAAATGTATTATTATTATTACTTTTATCATATAGACAATCTAATCCCAGTAGAAGGTCAACTTTGACGCATCTATTATTGTTCATTATTATTATCCCCTTGGTTTTCGAGTGGAAGATAAAATCTCAGCAGCCAATCTTCATTTCACACTGTCTTCTTCAGTCTGTCTTTTTTACCTGGCTCTATGAATGCCCATAACCTTTCATTTCCTCAAGACACGCCTCCTCCATGCCACCCTTGGATCCACGTCCACTGGGGTTCCATTTGTTGGTTTGGCGAGTGATGTCACTCGGTGGCGTTTACAGCATTTTTCTAATCCACTTCCATTTCCTTCTGCATATTTGTTGGGCGATAGACTGCTGATTTGTTTGTTTCCAGAGATCCCTGTTGCTTATCCTTTCTGACTAGGCATCTGATCTTCAACATAGAGCGTGAAAGTAATAACGCCAGCAAATCATAACACAATGATTACCACAGAATGTTTTTTTTATTGCGCCTATTTAGCTTCATCCTCTTTTTAACTATTTTCTTCTACTATTTAGGGCTCACGCTATAAAAGTAAGGTCTAAGAATGATGAAGCGGTAGCTGGATTGTTTTCTCATATTGGAGATATGCATGTTGTTCATCATCTTTGGGGTAAGTAGTTCTTTTGACAGCTAAAGCTGCTAAGCAGCTTGAAAATATGGGATGTTTTTATGATTATTCTGGTATGCGACTAAATTCACGATTTGCAAATCAAATCTTGATTTACACATATTTGAGGTGGAATTTCATCACAGTTTCCTGTGGAAACAAATTATTCAGTTCACAATATGTAATCTGCTTGATATCATAAATAGTAATGAAGAAGGCAGGCATAAAAGCATGACACTGTATACTAGTGACTGATTGAGGTGACTAGTTGTGTACCACTTGTTAGCCAGATCATGTGGTTTAAACGTTTTCGACTCTCTGAACTGAGTCAAACTGGGTACACCTCTGATGAGTTCGACCTCAAACGAGCGTGACGACTGTCCACTGGTTAGATCAATTTTATCTAACTAGTAAGCAATACTGGTTGCTGTGCGTGAGATATGCAACCACTCATCGCAGTCAATCAGTAGTATGTACCGTCATTGTGGTATTCACTTTACGCACTAGCGGGAACAACCTTGGGATTATAAAATAAGTTATTGAATTGAGATAGTTGGTCCCGTGTATATTTCCACTTAAGTGATTGGCGTTTGTTTCTGGTGTCTTTTATTCATGTATTCGTCACTTCCCTATTTGTCTTTGTCGCCCGTAGTCGTAAGAATATTGTATTTTTTATTCTTTACTCACGATCATGAAGGTTATCCATACTTGTTGAGCTTAGATTGAGGAGATAAACACAAGGTTTATTTCTTCTATCGTTTCAACTCCTTCCTTTTATTCTTCTTCACGTTCCCCAGTGTAACATAGGGCTTTAAGCTAGTGGCTTGAAGTTTCTGTAGCAGTGTTTATTTTACAGGATGGGGTTTCTAGCCTCATGCCCAACCTTTCTTCTTTACCAGCATTATTTCTGGCTTAACGAAGTAAAGGAGTTCGTTGGTCGGGGATCAAACCCCGGACCATGTGCATGGTCGGCGAGCATGCTAACCGCTATGCCACTGACGCACCCCACTCCTTCCTAATTCTACATTTTTCGTTTCCTTTTAATACTGAAAGAAAATTATGTTTTTATGCGTTTTGTTCAGTCAAGTCACAATTACATGAACACTAATATTTTTTACAACGGGACACTGTTTATCTATGAATCTATGTTATAGATGAGTTGTGAAATACAGAATTTATTGTAAGTTGAAGCTTGTGCGCCTTAGAAGAGTGGTTGCTTTTTTTAAAAAAAAGAAACGATTCCTTTAACCTGATTGATATATAAATTTTCAACCATAACGCTATCCATCTAGGAGATGTGGAGCTCATTGGTCTAACTGCTCAGTTCTCAGCAAATGACTCTTCGGGTTAAAGTCCTGTTCCACCCACCTAGTTCATCCAAGGCAACTGGGTAGTGTCATCAGCCCTCACACGATAAGTGTTCCGGGTAAGTTGGTTCAAACAACTATTTAGTAGTTCTTTAAGACTTGAGATAGGAAAACAGGATAAAAATGAAGAACTAAGTTTGTATATACTATTGAAAACATATCTTAATACAAAAATGAGAATAACATATTTCAGCGAGCATAAAACATTCATGTGCGCCAATCGATTCATAAGTAGTGATCGTAATCTAACTACCGGTATTTTTCAATTATTTGGCGATCGAATTTTTGTGATGTTTTAAGAATCCTTGGTGGTGAATACGTGTCTTCAGTCAAACAGTAAGCTGGAGGATACAAGAGAAACAAGATATACCGATTTGCTGTCACACTGTGTATGGAAACATTTCGATACTTTTTTTTGAAATAAAAATAATAGTTATGCGTCGTCCTCCCGTTTCTTTTTACAGCTTATCGTGATCTTGAAGCACGTAAGAAATCACGTGATGAAATTTGGCAAGATCCCAGTTGGGGGAAATGCGTAATGAATACAGGTAAAAAAGTAACTTATTTTATGATTCACAGCATCAATATCTTGCTATAGCCTGCATGTGATTGACTTGTGCAGTATCATAATTTACGCATGTTATTTAGTGTTGAACCAACTGCTAAGTAATATTGACGGGTCTTTCATTTAAAGGTAGCTGAAAGTCTGTGCGTTGTATATGCATCACTTATTTTCGCTAAGCTTGTAAATGAAGTGCTTATTATATGTCATTTAATCTCCTGAAGTTACTGACAATGTAAGAATGCACCCAATATCTTCAAAATATATGCTCATCCCATTGCTGGGTTGGTCACGAACTGAATTCAGTTACAGAACCACAGAAAACTAAGGAATACTGAACAGCTCTTTTATTCTTGTTTGTGACTATTCAACAACACTTACCTGCGATCCAATCAGGGATCAAACTCATGACCTTCAGGTTAAAAGGTGAACCCTTGTACCAACACTTCTAAACTACTTTAATAACATCAGTAACAGTCCTTTATTGTAATCCAACGTGTTCACGTATCTATTTAATCGTTTCTCATATGATCTTGTTGTTTATACTAATCAGTATTTTTCATAACAATATATTTGACGTCGAATTTTTTTCTTAAATTTCTCCCCTATTCACAGTTCCTTTGATGCATTCGATGACAAGCAGCATTCTTCGTCCAACACGGTACAGTCTACTCCGGTAATTCGTCCTACAGCTTTTTCTCTGTAGACGTTGACAGGGTCTCATTGTTTTGTGTGTTTTTGGGGCTTTCTCATTTGTATGTGTTTATTGTGACTTTACACTTAGCTTTTTTTAATGAAGAAGTCTTTGTAATTTTTTTTTAATGATGAATATTTTCCTTATTACTTGACGCAAAACTGCTTTTCACGTTGTTTTTTAAAAATATTCTTTTTATTACTTCTTGATGTACACTTCGTGGAAATAAACATTATGCAGCATAACAGTTTATCATTATTTATTAAAATATAAATTTTGTACATTATGTACACCATAAGATGCGCCACACAAAATTTCATAGTTGAAGCAGGTGTTTACCTTAGGAGGCCAACCCCGTCGAGATTTTGACTTCAAGTCTGATCCACAAGGCAGTAGAGCTGTGTCAGGAGCTACATTTCCATGGGTTCGGGTGACCAAAACAGGTTCACCGTAGCTGGACCAGCATATCCACCGGTTCGATTGTAATTTCGACGGTTGGTAGACGTTGGCATTCCCTGCTCCACTTTTGTTGGCGACACCCTCATTTTGTGAAGGCGGTGAATGGTTGTTGTCTCAGGACAACTGACTGTGGTATACTAGTTAATACAACAGACAGCTGGGATTGATAAAATGGTCATATGTTGAACCGACAAGAAGATATAAAGTTTGCAGAAGATTCATTTCTAATATCATAAAAACTCGAAGATTTATGAGGAAAAACCGACAAATCGGTAGAAGAGGCAATCAGCGAAGACAGGACTCTACGTGAACACAGAGAAGACAGAGGTGATGAAGATACCCAGCCAACAGCTACAAGTATAAATCACTATGAACAGCAAGAAATTGCAGAGAGTTAGCTGTTTCTCCTACCATCTCAACATTGTCGTTTCAACTATGTGTGGAATGAACGCGAATGTCAAAGTCAGGAAGGATCAGAAAAGCAAGATAGACCTTCATTAGTCTTAAATCAGATTGGAAACCTACTGTACTCAGCATAAGGAACAAGATTCCAATTTTGAGCACGAATGTAAAGTCACTCAGTGCTTCTATCTGCTTCATAGGATTGGCTGTTGTGTCGTCAGAAGTATTTCGAAAAGGCCAGCTTCCTTTGACGTCTCCATACTGAAGGTCAGATGAACAAAAAGAAGGGATAAGTAACAGAGAATTCTGGAAAGAAACTAGCGAAATCCATGTGCCCAAAATTTGATCAAAATGAAATGGAGATGAAATGGACACGTACTGAGGAGACCGTTGAATGAGACCTCGTGTCAGACATGCCCTTCAGTGGGATCCTAATAGGAAACGACGAGTTTGGCGAGGGTTAGAGGGAACTGTATGAGGATGAGATGAGAACTTATGGGGCCAGATGAAGATGCCTGCAGAAACAGGATGCAGTGGAGATGTACTACTGAAGTGCGATATTGCGCTCGGGAACCAATATAATATATATATATATATATATATATAATAGTCCGCTAGAAAACTTGTCGAGAAATTGTTTCAAGCGCAAAAGGTAGCCGATGCATTGACATCTCATGGATTTAACAGTTCCTTAGCCTCACCATGAATATCTCTAAATGGTTGGTTAAGGTCTGTTAAGTTGGCTGTAGTTTCACTGGTAAACATAATTAGTTGAGGTTCGATATACTTTCCAAAGATTTACTCTTATAAATCAAAAAGAACTCAGTCAAAATGACACTAATCAAAGTAAATTTATACCAACTATTATTTAGCAAAATAGGTGTCCTACAAAATAAGCTTAGAGGAAAAGTTTTTTCCAAAAATGAATTATTCAGCTTTATGTTAAATTTACTCTGAGAATCATGAGTTACGATTGTGCAATAGAACTTCGGGGCTACCAGTAATGAGCATTAAACGCCTAAATATGTAGGAGGTTTAATCAACTACTAAAGGTGAGTAACCTTACTTGAACTTGAATAACTTTTTGATCAAGAGGCATTTTTGAGTAAAACATTTGAATAGCAACAAAGCCATTGAAGAAATTGTGTGTACCTGTAATAATGATATGGAGTTGAGAAGAAAAGATAAGTGGTAGAGTGAAAAACTGACGGGTAAAATTCACTCATATCTCGGTTACACTGTCCGAAATACTGAAAAAATCAATTTTTATTATATGTATAGGTTGATGAGTTTTATAAACTTTCAGATAAGCTTTTATACTAGCATTTGACATTCGCCCACACCTGTACACAAATCACTACAGTCCTGTCCCGCATACGTTGTTTTGAACTGCTGCAGTACTGGCACTGCCTTTTCCAGTCGTTTACTTCTTTTGATTTAAAACATACATCTGTCCTACGAAATGAAAAATTATTGGTGTTAATGGGAATTTCTCCTAAAAATATCCGAAACGATTATTTAAACCACACGTAGAGTGATACACAACGTTCAAAAACACAAAATAATAATAAGAGTTTACTTTGTAATTGGAAGGTCCTGGGTTCAAACATCAGTAGGTGAGTACTGCCTTAACTAGAATGAAACAGCTGTCCAGTAAGCACTCCCTGGTTTTCAGTGGTCCTCTACCTGATATCAATCTGTAAAACTCGATAAGACAAATCGAATCCTTACAAACCAATTCTTGAAAATACGGTACTATATTAGGAATAAAATATAACATTATTATTGTTCCTTTGGGTTCCTAGTGGAACATAGGGCTTCAACTGCACATCTCCACTTGCCACTTCTGTCTTCCTTCGGCTGTACTTTTCACCTCCATCCATGTTAGTCCATACTCTCAACTCCTCTTCACACGATCTCCTCCATGTCACCTTTCCACTGACGTCCCACTCGCCGCCGCTTCCCTTTCAGCCTGGTTCCACTCGAGCAATGGCCTGACGCGCGCGCGATATCACCCAGCGGCCTCCTCAGCGAGTGAGTGTCCAATCCATCTCCTGCACACTTGTTGGTTGGCTATTGGTTCTTGTTTAGTCTGTTCCCAGCCATAGTTTCTTGTTGGTGATTATTTCCGGCCCCCCGGCCATCTGATCTTCAGTATAGATCCAGCGAAGACAGTTGTTAGTTGATAAAGGTCTGCAACAGGCTGTTGTAAATATTCTTTGTGACCCTCCCGCCAAGTTTATGATCCATATAGAAGAACTGACTGACTTGACGTTGTTTGTATTGAAAATCCGACGGAATTTTGTTGTTGATGCTGGCTGAGTGACGAAGATTCCCAGATTGGTTTCAGGTTGATGTGTTTTTCGCCTTCCTGATTCTCGCTCGATTTGACATCCTCGTCCGTTCCGACTTCCTGTAGTTGAGACAATGCTCAATGCTAGATGAGTGAGTGAATGAAATAACCTCTTTCAAATCCCTCCCGTTGATGGTGATTGGCTCTGGATGTTGCCGCTGTTGTTGTTGGTTGGTTGGTTATTTTCATCACCTCCGTCTTGTCTATGTTCACCTGGAGTCCCCTATTCGCCGGCTGCTTCTTCGACCAGTCTGTCGGTCGGTTTTCGCTCGCTTGTAAGTCTTCGATTTTGTGTGACATCAAACATAAATCATCCAGGCGCGAAATCCAGGTCTTCTAGGTTCTTCGCGTCGGCTGGTCCAGGATATCCCTCCCCGTCTTCTCGTTTCCCACTCACTGTCTGACGCATAATCCAGTCAGTCCACCACAATTAGGAATATCATTGGTGATAGATAATAAGCACCCTTGTCTGACTCCTTCCTGTGTTTACTCTAAACGCCTCGCCGAGTTTTCCGTTGTGGATCACTTGACATGTTCCGTTGTCGTACAGCTGTTGAATAAGGTTGATGAATATTTTGGGTACGCCGTAGTACTCGAGTAGTTTCCAAATTACTTCGCGGTCAACGCTGTCGAAGGCCTTCTCAAAGTCTATTAAGTTGAGGTAGAGGTTTGATTGCCATTCCATGCTTTGTTCGATGATGATACGTAGAGTAGCAATTTGGTCAGTACATGATTTGCCTTTCCTGAATCCAGCTTGTTCTGGTCTGAGTTCTGTATCCAGTGCGTCCTTTATTCTCTCCAGGATGATGCGACTCAGGATTTTGCTTGGCGTCCCCGCCAGTTCTTGCAGAGTCCTAAGTCTCCCTTCTTTGGTAGTTTCACGAAGTAACCTTTCCTTCAGTCAGTAGACACCTTTCTCTTCTTCCAGACCTTTTGCAATAATGAAGACAGCATATCTGCTGTCGTCTCTGGGTCCGCTTTCAGTGCTTCATGGGGTATTCCTAAAATTGTTAGGTGTCTGTTTCTGAATACTGTCAAGAGTACAGTCAATGTAAGTCAATAATAAAAACAGCAAAGCTGTGTCAAAGTCGATCCACACGTAGATTTAAACTGCGCGCAAATGCCAGACAGAATAAAGGGATATGAATAAAAACATACATCAGTAAAGGACATGTAAATAAGTCAAATGCAGCAGATAGTATTTAACTATAAGAAAATAATTACTATACATCAAATAGATTACAAATACATTAAGCAAATTTAACTACATTAGCAAACAAGTCACGGTTAAGAAGTAGCAAAAATAATTCATACTACCTACTAATGAATGAGTAGTATGAACTGGACACAAAAGAAAGAATGACAAAGTATGGATGGGGAACGGGAATAATAAATGGCTCACTTTTATGCTTGTTGGGTAGTAGTCTGCTTCATGTGTCAGTTATTGTTTCGTTGGATAGTTGATGAGTGTTCAGTAAAAATATTAAATCTATCATTGATTCACAATGCTCTGTGTTGGCAGTGGTTGTTTGAAAGAGGAAGTTGAAAATGATGAGTCATCAGATCAGCTGCCACTTTGGGATTGAGCAACATCCCTATCGTAACCTGGTTGTCAAGGTCGTAACCTGTCACTGGTTCCTAAGTGCCTACTAATAAGATATAGACATCCACTTCCCTTCGATTTTCAGTGGTTCTTTCTGCTGATCTTAGTGTGTGTGATGAACTCAATAGAATCAGCACAAACTCAACAACTTAATACGTCTTAGTGTTTGATGCAAAGAGAAATTGGTTGATGTCACATCATTTTATATTATTTCAAAATTACGGACATAATGGTGTTATGGTAATATCAAAAGATGGTGAGTGTAGTGCTGATCGAAACGTCTAGAAATATGGATGTTGTCATACATTAGACGTCACTTTGATCTCTGAACAGTCATCCACGTATGTTGGGTGATAATTCAGAGGATTATCAAACTTCTCCACCAGAAAATGGAGTAATGAGATAACTTGAGCTAATGATGG